GATGTACACGACGATGCTGACGAAGTTTGACTGCGTGGTAATAGACGACGAAACCTACGTCAAAGCCGACTACAAGCAGCTTCCGGGACAGGAGTTTTATACGGCAAAAGGAAGGGGAAAGGTAGCAGATGTTTTCAAGCACATGAAACTGTCAAAGTTCGCAAAGAAATATCTGGTTTGGCAAGCCATCTGTACCTGTGGCTTGAAAAGCAGCATTTTCATAGCTTCCGGGACTGTCAACCAAGAAATTTACGTGAAAGAGTGTTTGAATAAACGTCTGCTGCCTTTCCTGAAGAAACACGGTTGTTCCGTACTGTTTTGGCCGGATTTGGCATCTTGCCATTACGGTAAAAAGGCCATGGAGTGGTACGCCGCCAACAACGTGCAGGTGGTTCCCAAGGACAAGAACCCTCCCAACATGCCAGAGCTCCGCCCAATTGAGAAATACTGGGCTATTGTCAAGCGGAACCTAAAGAAGACCAAAAGGGCGAGCAGCAGTTCAAGGCAAACTGGCTTTCTGCGGCGAAGAAGGTGGACAAGGTGGCTGTACAAAATTTGATGGCAGGGGTCAAGCGTAAGGCCCGGCAATTCGGATTTGGAAAAGCGGAAGCCTAACTGAATATTTTTCCTGAATTTTATACTGATTGAACTTGAAAAAGAAATTTAATTTGATTTTTTAAATAAACGATTTCACCGATTTACACGCGTTTTCCCTTGACCAAATTTTGACCGTATCACCCTTTATGTATACGGGAAATTAAAGGTTTTCCAAATCGTCCTGGAGTTCAGATGATTTGTTTTACTAGATCAACCAAGACTGCAATAATGTCTGTAGTATCGAAAAATGTCCAATCAGATTCAAAGTGTCTATGTGGATCATGCATGATCTATTTTCGAGTAATCCAGATATTCAAGATTCTTCAAATCGTCCTGGAGTTCAGATAATTTGACATACTAGATCAACCGAGATTGGGACAATGTCTTTAGTGTCGAAATATTTCCAGACAGATGCACAGTGCCTATATGGATAATGTATGATTTATTTCCACCTATACCAAATGATCTAGGTTCTCCAAATCGTCCTGCATTTCAGATGATTTGTTTTACTAGATCAACAAAGACTGGGATAATATCTGTAGTATCGAAATATCGATTTGGAAATCCTAGAACATTTGGCATACACATATTTCGATACTAAAGATATTGAATTAGTCTTGGGTGATCTAGTAGAAAAATAATCTGATCTCCAGAATGATTTCAGAACCTATAACACATAGACACTTTGAATCTGTTTGGGCATATTTCGATACTACAGACATTATTACAGTCTTGGTTGATATAGTAGAACCTAGAATATCCGGTATACATGGCAATTACTCGCATATATACGATTCGTGACATGAAACATGAAAATGTCTCACGTTGGACAGACCCCAGGGAATTTCCGTGTAAATCCGGTGTGACTTATGGAATTGATATCATTTCTCGATTTTTTGCAGGGTGCTTGGTTTGAACTGGTAAAAAATTGAGAGCCAAATGAACAACACCATTTGATGACAGCAAAATAATCCGTGACGGGAAGGTTACAATGAATTCCACAATTTTTGTGACAGCGCATCAGTCCCTTCGCGATTTTCGCGAGTGAAAGTTCAAATCCGTGACAAATCCGCGAAAATCGCGAAATCCGAGTCTGTTGTAACAGCCTTGTAACTGCCCTAAATTCATCTAAATCAATTAGAAATTTTGATCTCAAAACCGCATAAGAAATCAAATGATAGGTAGTTTCATCTCTTGATAGTGAGAGGACCTGTTCTCTCATTGTCACATGACGACCGTGATATTTACCAGCTTTGGTTACTGTGCACAATGGATTTTTTTTTTGATAATAAAAAAAAAAAGTAATTTAATGCAATATCTCAAAATACCACTTATGTTTACCCCAAAAGCTATCTTTTAATGTATAAATATCTCATCATATTCTACGGCATTTTGAGATATTGAATTCAATGACTTTTTTGAAGAAAAAGAAAATCCATTGTGGTTCGAACCGCCAAATCCGTAATCTATTTCATTTGCACCATTGATAGTGATTTTGACAAACACGGATGTCTTCCAAAACTTTTTGTAAATAACCCATTGATTGGTGTTAATCTTTAGTTCAGAACTTCACCACAGGCGCCGCTGCAAAATATAACTACTTTAGTTTGGATTGACAGACATGTGATGACTTGGGCAAATTAGTAGGATCTTTTATTACCAAAAGCTAAACCCAAGGCACAGTTATAGTATCTACATTTTTTAGACCGTTAATCGCACGCCCTTTTTGCAATATCAGGTTAATATATGGCTTTCGAACTTTATATTAGTCGCATATCAGCATTATATTGCAAAGAAGGTAATTAGCGGGCTTTCCAGGTTACTTGGGTATAAAAGCATAACGGGCCCATTTTTATTTTTATTCCCTATTCATATGGGCTATATCCAGAACAACATGTGAAAAGGGCATACAAGCTTTTTGTAAACAAACCTTCTTATGCTCTTTTCTCGCCACCCATATGACACCAACGCAAACCTTTAACATCACCGGGTAGGGGACACTTTCCCCTTCCCGATGATATTGCTGGTTTGCGTGGGCGACCCTCGGTTGGTGAGAAAAGGGCCTACAAAGTTTGTTTACAAAAAGCTTGTATGCCCTTTTCACATGTTGTTCTGGATATATTCTTCTTGGGTAGTATAATACGCTGCAGTTTTATAAACATTTTCAAAATACATTTATTGAAGACGTTAGGGAGCTATCGGCGAAAAAATAGTAATAATTGAAGCACCTATAGACTTAAAAGAAGCAATAAAGGGCAGATGTCAAAATATTGCAAATATTACCATTTCTCGATGAACATTTCAAATGGTCCTATCTGCTTTGATCGATTCTCTTCATCGACTTTCTCTTTTCATAACCTTTGCTATGCAAACAGATTTTGCGCTAATTCTATCATATAGTTTGATAAAGGGGGTTCTTATCTAGCGTCCAAAACGTCAAATACAACAGGGAAAGGTTTTGCAACTGAGTTATTGACGAAAGAGAAAGTCGATGAAGATAATCGATCAATGCAGATAGGACCTTTTGAAATGTTTATCTAGATTTGATTAATTTGTCATCTGTAACAAATTGGATCTACGTGAGCTTTGACATGTTTTATGAGCAGCTTTCTTTCCGTCAAATTTGGTTTATTTAGAGTGGATGAGTAAGTAATGGAGAAATTAAAAAAAAAACACATAATCAACGTTCTTGATACAATTTTACAAACATACATATTAAATAGTACACCGTGATTTTTTTGCCTCGTAATGAAATTTCAAAGAGCTCTAACTTTTCAGTGTGAGCATCATAATTCTTGAAACTTTGGCTGCTGGATGATCAAGTATTGAAGGTTTACTTTATGGTAGTTTGAGCTATGTTAGTAAATCGCTTCTTAAATATGATTGTCCCTTTTCAATCTGTTATTTCTTGAAGTAAAATCAACCAAATAAGCTGAAATTTATATCCTTTGTAGCAAAACATTATTCTTCAAACCCACTCAAAACTTACTTAAATCCGACCACGAAAAAAGGTTACAACTGCACAAATAATTTTTTTTTTAAATTTGGTCGGATATGTGCTATTGGACAGACGAATCACGAGCTGCAGTAATATCTTCACACATTTTGGCACATATTCTTTACAAATCGCCCCTCGGGATACGGTATGCTGATGACAGAACACGCAAGAGTATAAATTTATCAACTTTTTTTTTGGCTTTATTGCTATTTATAATGTGTTTGTAGAAATGTACCAACACATTGACACTTACGCTTCTGACATGTGCGCGTTGTGTATGCACGCCTTATTTCATTTGCTCCATTCTTATCTGATGAATGGATTGATAAAAACCGGCTGATAGCAATTAGTGATTAGCAATTCTTGGAAATACAAATGCATAAGCTACGAAAAAGGATTGCAGAAAAAATAACTAAATTGAAAAGCAAGCACAGGAATAATCATCGCGAAGTTTTTTTTTGTTTTTGTTGGAGTTGTAGAATTTTGACCTAGTTTCATGGAAGATGTGTTGAAAAAAACTTAGCCCTAATGACCAAGATGAAAACCGAGTTAGCTAAATATAAAATCTTTTCCTCGCACGAAATTTTTTACTAAACATGTATGCCTCTCTAGCTGAGATGGTTCGATGGTGTGAGGAAAAATGAGAGAATAATAATAATGGAAATTTATTTTTAAATCTGGGTGGATTGGTGGATTGCTTCTACCGTTAGACCATTATGAGGCATTACTCTCACACTTTCGAATAGAACCTTGAAAAGTTGTGATGGGTAGTAGAAATAATACTAGATGACCTTGCACCAGACATATCCATGGAATGATGCATTTATTTTTGTATCCATCTATTCGGAGTGTTAATGGAGATGAACGTAGAATGGTTGAATGAGTAAACGATAGCGCTCAAAGGTTAATCGAATGGGCAGATTGTTATTTGTGATGTGGATACCTCTCTTCCATGTCTGCATGTTGTGGTGAAATGGTGTGTGCATATATAGCTTTCGTATGCTCAATTCTTGCCTGCCATGTTCACTTAGTGCCGGGATAGGGAATTCAGAGCGAACGTTAAACAATTACTGGCACTGGTAATCGATATAATGGATGATATCACATACCAGAATTAAATTTCCCTGTGAACTGTTTTTTTGTTTGTAACAACTTGCAAAACAAAATATAAAAAGCAATAAGTAAAGAGACGACTCAATTGCTTGGTTTGAAACTAATAGTGTGTACATGAAATTTCTGAAAGAAAATTTATATATTTACTAGTCGTTATTATGCAGTGCTTGAGTTAAAATAAACTAAATAACAAGGTAAAACAACGTCAGAAAAAATATGAGCAGAATATTCCCGACACAATTTAACAGAAGAAACATCTAAGGGAAAAAGTTTCACTTCAATGCATCCGAACCTGCGTGCATCTCGTCCTCCTCCTTTGCCACAAAAGGTCCGAGCGGATCGAAGCGCACTCGATGTTCAACTGCGGCGTGGGCCGCATTCAGGAGATCAGAAAAGAACCGATGCCGCCTTAGAGCCAACTCGTCACGACCGATCGGTGTAGTGGGTGGTTCCATGATTCCACCCTCCTCCCTGTGCCATGAGTGGTGAGCGGTGCGTTAAATAGGAAAAACGGGTTCACACAGTTGAATATACAAGTATCATTATATCTCTAGAGTTGGTTGTTGTTCTAATAACATGCACGTGCTTTTACCCGTAAACTGAAATCTGATTATGACGAGTTTATCGACGATGAGAAGACTATGATGGAGCAAAACTGGGATACATGTTATAAGCGAAGTAATGAAGAGATGAACTCTAAACTAAGGATTTGTAATGAGCGTTTAATCGATGCTGTTGGCTGAACAAAAACAAAAAAAAAACACTTTATTACGTATCTTTTGAAATAATAAGGAAAAACACGTAGAAAAACACCAATCTTAGACATGTTCAAATATCTTAACTGTAACTAAATGCAGCTTACTTGTAATAGGACACTATTAAGTACGAAATATTCTAAGCTGTCCAATGGTGGCGATAATTTAATGCTAATTAGCATATTTTTTGAGTTAGAGCCAATTTATGACAAGCATAGCCCAAAACAGAAAAAGTTTAATAACTCAGTAATCTTTGAGATTTGATTATATGCGTAGAACAATGTTTTTCATTAAATATGACATTCTATCACTCCTTAAAATATTTGCACTAAGGAACCGAACACCCGGTATATTCTGGAAAAAACTTGATTGTACGCTACAGTTCATTCTAAGAACTGCCATTACACTTATTACGAACAAAGTGCAGAGGATGTAAGAACTCCACACTTCTATTTGGTGTTCATGCTATTTGTTTTGCGTGTATCTTATACATGAGAAGGAAAGAGTCTCAGCATAGGCTCCATCCGCCTGCTTAAATTACTCACCACACAACTCTAGATAGAGCTGGAATTAGGGCGTAAAAGCCTTTGTAAACAATGACGTCTCTCGTGGATTTCTCGGAATTCAAGGCACGCCTACACAAACCAACATATCCATTGGGTAGAAGAAGTCTTCCTTTACTCGATGGTGATGTCGATTTTCCAGGGAGAGCCATGGCTTCCGAGAAATCATCGAGAGAAGTCATTGTTTACAAAAGCTGTTACACCCTAATTCCAGGTCTATCTAGAACTGCACTACACAGATTGAAAAGGTTGGAAAATGTTGTCAACAGGATATCTTCGTTATGGCGCTATCATTCAACCTTAACCTTGACCCGCATTTCAACTCCTTTTTCAGCCTTTATAATAGACCGATCCATCAGTCACTTCACTGTTCCATGGAAAGCGTTCATCCATGGGATGGCTGATGGAGTAGTTTGCAAGCACATCTCCACGAGCTGAGAAATACGCTCAACTTCGTAATCGAACGGAATACTGAAAAAAGAAAGAAAATAGGAAGGACAACTCCCCTTAAACTAGGTAGATACCGGATAAATTCATTCCACCTTCACAGGTGTAATGTTATTCATCCTTCGTTAATCCATCCTTCTGCGTCCTTTCCGCAGGACAAAATGCGGGATGATGTTTTCCTGCTTCTACGAGAAAGGTCTTCTGAGCACGTGATGCCTTTCCCTAACAATCACTACGATCGAGTGGTTTGCAGTAAATATTTGTGCTTCGTTAGAGGCATCGTACGTTCTGCCTAAGTACCATCGGCAGTAAAGCGTGTTATATTGAAAATCCCACCACCCAGTGCACTGGGTTGAAGTGACATTGTTGGAAATATTATTGTGGATTGTATTAACCAGCGTTGCTAGTTTAGTACACTAGTGAATACGAAGCTTTTATTTCGCTCCTGTTTGCAATTTCAAACTTTTTATACGTCATGAAAAATGTGAAAATGCGAAAAAAGTAGTATGAAGATTTTTGCATTTTTTACATCGCATATTGAGTGGTTTTTCAAATAGCCGTATCAGCTTTTGTAAACAAAGATTCAAACGTCAATTTGTCGAAACTCTTACCATGCCCAAACGACCATCATGTAGGGTAAAGTTTTCTCAATTTTACATGCTTAGAAATTATTACCGACTTCGACAATTTTTAGCGAACTTTCAACAGCTGAACTGTTCGATAAAAATCAGGCATTTTAGACATTGGGCTAAAACATTAAATTGGTTAAACATTTACAAGTAACGTAGCTATTAGGAGTACATTTGGTTATGATCACTCGTATGTATGGCTAAAGATCACGTGTAACTCTTGTTTATCCACATACAAGTGTGTTCAAACTTTTGCTTGCCTGTGGACATTTTTAAAAACGTGTTTTTCTTACTATTTACGGCACTATTAAATCAAACTGGGTTAATATTATCTACACTTTACTCCAGGAGTTCAAGAAACATGTTCTAGTCATCATTTTTTTCTGTATATTCAAGATAGGTATTTGCAGCAATAAACATTTTTGAATTTTCGTCCAATGACACCCCCTAGGCCCAATGTCACTCCGTCGTACGGTATTTTTTATTGACTGATTAATATTTGTTCCCCATAAGGAGCTGCCCAAACTACGTAGAAAGTTTTCGAGAGATTTTAGACCCAACTCCCCCTGCTCTGTATATTTACATTTGTAAATATTTATATGAACTGAGAAAATCGCAAACCCCCAACCCGACTACGAAGTTTTAGGGGTCCACACCTATATAAAGCTAATATGGTATACGCGATAGCATATCCACGAACAGACCTAATAATCGCTTATAGGCCCTATCTTTATGTTTATGAAAATCAACCCATTATTGATAAAGAAAAGTAGCAAGTTCTAGTTTACAACTATTATGGTTGTAAAAGCTACCGTAATCTGGAGGCAAATTGATCACTGAAAATCTCCAAAAAAAAAAAAACGCAATTGACAAACTAATTGTAGTAGCTACGAGAACTCTACCATTCTATATGACTAGCTGAGTGTGCCCGGCCTTGCTCGGGATTAATATTTGCTTGAGTTTATGTGCCAATTAAAAAAAAAAAAGCATGATATATTGTACGTTGCCCCCCCCCCTTCTTATTTAAGGGGCTACCCCCTAGGACCTCCACATGCCAAGTTTGGTTCCATTTGCTTGATTAGTCCTCGAATTATACAGAAATTTCTGTTTCATTTGTATGGGAGCCCCGCTTTACAGAGGAGGGAGGGGTCTCGAACCATCATAAGAACTTTTTCCTGCCCCAAAAACCCCTGCATACAAATTTTAACTCCGAGTCTATAAGGGTCAGACAGACAGAAATTCATTTATATATATATAGATAGATTTGTTATCATGTTGAATGTTTTAATAACTTTGAAATCTCAAATTGAAAACATTGATTTGGGGTGAAATTGATCAATCCCTCAAATTACTTTTCAGTGCGTTTCTAGCAAATTCTAATTTTGAATTTGGGTTCCCTTAATCCGAACCAGATGCAAAAATCCATGAGCGGGGTATAAAATTGTCGGTGATAGATATCAAGCAAAATCTTCAAGCATTTCCTCCCTAGCCTTCAATATTTCTCTTGATGGGTTTCTCATATCAATACAGTATATTTTACTGCTTAAATTTCTATTTTACTTAGCTGACGTCCAATAACATAACATACCCGAGTAGCACACTTTCATCACAATAAGTTACAGCAACTTGTTTATGACTGAAATAAGTCGTATATAAGTTTCTACAATTGATTTGTGACAAGCGTGCTGCTAGGGTATCAGCTTTCAAACAAACGATCATAGGGCAGGGCGGATTGTTGTCATTTGCTTGAAAGAAGCATTTTTAACGCAAAAATGCTTCATCAATCTTTACCAATTTTTGCACAGGTTCATAATTTGGAGTTATGAATCGAGCTGGAGGGTTGCCTATCAGAAATTCATCCCTTTTTCAAAATGAAGCACCCTACTGTAGACTCTTGTGCAAAAAAATAATTGCATAGTAATATTTTTGCACAGGCCAGAAAATTTAAAAGTCGACTAATTTGATAGCAGTAGTAGGTTTAGAAGAGTATTGGCTAGCTAAACTACGACATTGGAACTCTAGAAAACATTAAGAAGTTCAATATTGCAATTTTATGACCAGTGCGAAAATATTACTGTGTATTTATTTTAAGGGGAATAGCCTAATGAGCAGAGAAATCTACAACATCGACTTTACTTTAAGTAAAGTTATAATTTAAAAATAATATTGATAGTTTTATTAACCAAGCTTATTTTGAACAGTTTGGAGATCTTCCAAGGAATAATTTATAATTTTGACGTTCTTTGATCCTTAAATCTCTGAACCTCCAAGAAGTGCCCTAAACTTCCTTGAGAACGCATGAATTTCTATGTGGTTCTCTAAACTTGACAGAGATTCCCTAAAAGCTGAGGTTCCTAGTTTTTTTTTTTTTTTTTTCTAAAATTCACTGAAAATTTTTGAAGTATGCCGAAAATTTCTGAGGTTCCTCGGAATTCGTTATCCTCGAACTTTTTTTTTAAATTTAGGATTTCCAAAGCATCTCTGAAGTATTCATAAACTTATCTGATGCCTTCAAAGCTAAAGTTCTCTAGCACTTCTCAGAATTGTCCTGAACAATTCTGACGTATACTGAACTGCTCAGAGGTTTCCTTTGAGGTATCCCTCTTAACTCTTGAAGGTTATTCAGCTAGTATGTCATGATAAAGACATTTTTGATTCCCTGTTCATCTCGGTCGGCAGTCAAGCAAAATTAGAGTACGTTTCAACAAAACAAATTCTTCTTTTGTTTTTGTTTTTCCTCGTGTTTTGATAATTTGTGGATAGCGAATACTACATTCAGATATTAGAAAGCAGAAATCTAATAATTTTATCCAATTATACGAGACTTGTAGTATCTGCTGCAGACTATGTTTTTAAGTACATGCTACATGAGTTTACTACATATTCATAAAACCCGATTGTGTGGCATTGCAATTCTTTTATCGCCTATGATGATTTAAGATGCACTACGCTCTAGTTGGAAGCTTATTCTATTATTGTCTGAAATTACAATGTTTTCTTGAAAAAATCATCACATAGTCTTCTTCTTCATCACAATAACTATTGGAACTTTACGCCTGCTATCAATTTGGTGTTTTTTTAACACTGCCATAATTGTTTGAATGAACGAACGTTTTTAAACCTGTACCATTTTTTGCATTCGTGATTGTACCTGTCTCATAGCAGTCTTTTGCGAAAACGGGAAGGTTGCCTGTCTTCATGATATGTTGTCTTCGATCGAACCCTTCACCTCCGACGCTTTTTTACTAACGGGAAGGATGCAACGTAGCTGACATTTTTTTAGTAAAAAAAATTCAGGTCAATAAAAAAAATTGGAACATGCAGAAAACGGAAATTAACAAACCTGGTTGATCTGCACAATACTATTTTTGAAAATTCTAAAGATAAGAAAAAATGTTAGTGTCAGAAACTAAAACATCAGAAATCTAGTTTCGTACAACCTGCAATTTTAGATTTGTGCCTAGATCAGTAATGAAAGATTATTCTCATTATACCATTCAGCCAACAGCACGAACCAACTTTGGTGAAAAATGAAAACCAATCAACCAAAACAAAAAAGGGAAACAAAAGCGTTTTAGGTAGGTATGATTTATCTGATATCATTTGATGGAAATCAAAGAAAGCTTTTCTGAAGAAGAAAATGGGAAAGAAAAAAACCATGCCAACAAAAATTCTTATTCTCAATAAGATAACATTATACGAACATCATCAATCGATCCTCGGCGAACCAGTCCGGAAGTGCAACCAGTCCCGGCAGTGAGCCTCGTTTAGTGGCATACGGGGCGCACATATTACCCCTCGGCAGCATGGGAGGTATCGAATCGGAAAACACTTCATCGTCATCGTTGGTGGGTGGGAAATATTCAGGTGGGGGGATAATTTCGGTACTATCGTTATAGGCTACTTTCTTCTTGATTGATGACTTGGACGAGGACCGTCGTGACAAGCAGCTTTCCCGGAGCGACAACTGGGTACGGATGGTCACGTCGTCACTATTGGCCGACTCTTTTCGGCTCGGAGGTTGGCAGTTTTCGTTGGGTTCAGGTTCACTTTCAACATTGTTGTTGAGAATGTTGTTATCCGATACCGAATCACTTGCGCTAGTAGGTTCTTCAGACTCTTTAACAACTTCTTTATCGGGTGCAATTTTAGGCACATGATTGTCATCACTACACATTTCACTGTTATTAAGATCCTTATCACTTTCACCTTTCACTTCATCGGATTGAGAATTTTCCGAGCTTCTATTTTCTTTCGGCAAGTAGCTTTGGATATCAATTGTTTCTTCAATTGTTACCTGACTGTTGCTCGTGTCACTTTGTAAACGGGGGATTCGATCTAGAGTGGGTGGTTCAGTTTCGGGTTCGACCTCTTCATCCATGTTCGGTTGAATTTCCGGGGATTCTTTCTCGGCACCGAGCACAATTTCAATTTCCGATATCTGTTCAAGGTTCTCCGAATTGATATTGTCCGTATCCGACGATTGCGATTCATCTATGGAAAAAAGGATTTCTCTGACGACTTTTGTTTTGATGTTGGTCCGCTATCATCACAATGCTTTTCACATGCTCGAATGTTGTTGAAAACGAAAGGAGGTTATCATGAAACGGTTTGGATTGAATCGAATTTACAGAGATAGATCGATCAAATCAATTTATGAAACCCCCTCTACCTATTGGCGATGCCTTTTGTCAAAATGAGTTTTATGTATACGCTTGTTTCAGTTTTTTTAGACTAATGGTTATTTTTGTTGCGTTTTTAAAGTCACAAGTACAACAGGCTTCAGGAAATTATTAATATTTAGAAAGGCAAGAAATAAAACAAAATGAGCTGGTATAGGTATACTAAAAACTGCTTTAGAACTCGCTGTAAAATTACAGAGCTCAGCATAAATCAAGAGCACCGTCTGCAGGAAAGACCGAAGCATTTAATCCATTGAGAGTACTTTTCACTAACAAAGTAATTAATCTACAGCCGATCCAATTAAAAATTTTAATTGGAATTAGGACGCACAATAAAACCGTGTCGTTTTATTGTATTTGCAATATTCAAAGAAACTAAAACAAACCAAGACCATTCAACACAAATCAATGACACAGAAAAAGCCACAGTGATATTACAGGCGATTGGAATGAAGCATCTTTCCTCGAACTTCAATTGAATTTACGGTTGAGCAGGTTGTGTAATACAATTTTCTGCGAAAAGATTTCACGCAGAGCGCACACAGAAAAATATGCTGAGTGAGGGATGAGTGGGTGGAGATTTCCTTCGACTGTAAGTATAACATTCCCCAGTTGGATACGGCAGGTATGTCACCATGAAGATATTCCAATGTGATGAGATACCTACATCCTACTTCATTTGACAAACGAGAGTTGACACAGTTCTTATTACAACGCGTGAAGACGTGACTATGTCGGTTGGGCTCGGAACGCTGTCAAAGCTCATGGATAATACGACCATTTTCGGTTTAGACGGCAGTCATGATAAACGAATGAAAATAAGGGGTTCTTGGAAAATGCTGTTTCGGATTACTCAAGAAAATCAACCTACGTAGTTTCTGCAGAATGTGACCTTCTGGGTCCAATTTATATTCTGTTGCCTACATTTAAAAAGTTTTCGTGGAAGAAAACAAAAATTAACAAGCTGTATGGTAGAAGAAGAAGCATAATTAAAGCTAGTATGAAGACTTTAATTTCAAATATTTCACGAACATTGTTGCGAGACAAACTTTACAAAAACAACTTTATGTTCGTTAATGCCATTAGAATAACTGAGAGTTATTTATTTGGAAATCCAATAAACAAAAAATAGAAAGTATATCCATAGAAATCAAAGAACGATGCCAGAATATGATATTTCCCGAATTTACAACTACAGTGCGTGTCAGAACAATATAGCAGGCTGAAATCTTATTTCCATGCTAACAATTGTATCTATGTTGTTTGTTAACGGCTTTTATGACATTTTCAGGAATTTTGAACTAGCTAGGACCATCTAGCAAATTTACAATTTTTGCATTAGTATACTTGCGTGGCAAGTATATTCATCCTCTATGCCCAAGGATGTCGATACATTTTTCAACCCGAACAATTAGTAGACCGGACCGGGAATCGAACCCAGCCGCCATCAGCACAGTTTGCGCCTTTACCGACTGAGCTAAAGGGTGATACGGTCAAAATTTGGTCAATATCAACTTGACGTATTTCTTTCAATTTTGCATTTAAAAAACCTGAACACCCCTCATTTTGAAGGTGTGTGTGTGTAGAATGTTGCTCCTATTTTGATTTTGGAATTCACTCTTCAGTTGTCAAAATGCCGTCCAAGTAAGAAGAGCAGCGTATCAAAATTTTGCTCGCGCATCGCGAAAATCCGAGCTACTCGCACGCAAAGTTGGCAAAATCGCTAAAAGTTGCCAAATCAACCGTTACAAATGTAATTAAAGTGTTTGGGGAACGTTTGTCGACAGCCAGGAAGTCTGGATCGGAGGGAAAATGAAAACCGGAAGCCGCTGAGACGACAAAGAGAGTTGCCGGTAGTTTCAAGCGAAACCCTAACCTCTCTCTCCGAGATGCCGCAAATAAGCTGGGTGTATCGTCTACAACCGTGCATCGAGCCAAAAAACGAGCCGGACTATCGACTTACAAGAAGGTAGTGACTCCAAATCGGGATGATAAACAAAATACGACGGCCAAAGCGCGATCCCGGAGGCTGTACACGACGATGCTGACGAAGTTTGACTGCGTGGTAATGGACGACGAAACCTACGTCAAAGCCGACTACAAGCAGCTTCCGGGACAGGAGTTTTATACGGCAAAAGGAAGAGGAAAGGTAGCAGATGTTTTCAAGCACATGAAACTGTCAAAGTTCGCAAAGAAATATCTGGTTTGGCAAGCCATCTGTACCTGTGGCTTGAAAAGCAGCATTTTCATAGCTTCCGGGACTATCAACCAAGAAATTTACGTGAAAGAGTGTTTGAATAAACGTCTGCTGCCTTTCCTGAAGAAACACGGTTGTTCCGTACTGTTTTGGCCGGATTTGGCATCTTGCCATTACGGTAAAAAGGCCATGGAGTGGTACGCCGCCAACAACGTGCAGGTGGTTCCCAAGGACAAGAACCCTCCCAACACGCCAGAGCTCCGCCCAATTGAGAAATACTGGGCTATTGTCAATCGGAACCTAAAGAAGACCAAAAAAAGTGCTAAGGGCGAGCAGCAGTTCAAGGCAAACTGGCTTTCTGCGGCGAAGAAGGTGGACAAGGTGGCTGTACAAAATCTGATGGCAGGGGTCAAGCGTAAGGCCCGGCAATTCGGATTTGGAAAAGCGGAAGCCTAACTGAATATTTTTCCTGAATTTTATACTAATTGAACTTGAAAAAGAAATTTAATTTGATTTTTTAAACAAACGATTTCACCGATTTACACGCGTTTTCCCTTGACCAAATTTTGACCGTATCACCCTTTAAGAAGACCGTGGATCCAACAATTTTTACTATTAATTGAACGACGGAGCTGCAACTTAAAAAGGGGCTTGTTTCGTTAACTACAGATTCTTGCTTGGGAATATAAATATTCTAAGATAGCTAGACAATCTATATGTGAGGTAATCATCAAACGCACACTGAGCACAGGTGATGTTTTTTTTTCTAGTGTTCATGGCGTTGTTAAAGAAGGGATACCATACAGATAATTTTGTTTTGTGTTTCACAGAATTCATTGTATTTTAAAGCAATAAATGTTTTCAATTCGATGCGTAGACTTGCAACAACATTAGCAGAATTGCATTTAACGCGTTAAAACTGTCTTTTGAACAGTTATACAGTGATTTTTTATAATGAATTGACAAATTATGTTTTTTGATATGGATAGCTGTCATAACGACTTTTTATTAATGATTGTAGCACTGCAAAAACTATTTTGTTCGCCACGATGGTGATGATGGGTTTTTGATATTTGAGTTAATTTGAAAAAAAAAGTAGTCTACAAAGGATTGAGCCTCGCGCGCGTATTACGGATATAGAGGACTGATTTTAACATTTGAAAAAAAAAGCAAAACATGGTCTGATTTTAACAATTTAAAAGTATCGTAGTGTGGCGCGCTTTGTCAATTTCCTTGCGTTTGACGTTTACACATTACCACCATCTGTTCAGTGTAGAGCCCACCACAGTGTACTCAACAGATGGCGGTAATGTTTTAGCGACGATGTTTTACAGTGAGAAATATTCAATATGTTAGGTCTGTTTGTCTGTGCTTGAAGCTTATTTGGAAGATACCTATAGTTATAAGTAAGTTTTCTGGCATATGTCGGGGGTTCATGAGCATTCTTGACATTGCTGAAAATTATGATAGCATCAGATTGCGGGGTTGCTAGTGTATTTGAATGCTTTGTTTATTGTTCATTAACTCTTGATCGCTTGCAATACTTATGAATATTTTAGTTAGACAAAAAGGCGAACTAAGAGGTGGACGCCTAAGTTTGTTTACATTTATATCGCTATGAAGCAACTCTAAACTCTAGAGGGAATTTATATCTGTAACTGTAACCCGTTCGATTTTGTTTGCAAACCTGGTTAAAATGTCATATATTTAATTAGCTTTAGGATAAATCATCCAGCTCAAGCTTTTGAAGGTGTAAGGGGCGGGACCATCGTTATCATCATTTATCATCAAACAGTACACGCCCTTTTTTAAGGTCGGAAAATTAATCCGAGCTTCCTATACGTTTCAGAGCAAATTAATTCGACGCAACGGCTGTTAGAATGCTCTTGAAGCTGATAATCTGGCGCCAAATGCTATTTTTTTCTAATTTGGCAATTCTTCAATACACAACATGTAAATATTTACATGATTGGCAAATCTCAGGTAATCATGACATTTTGATCTTTGAAAACAACGCGCATGAGAAAAAGAGACCTACTGCATCAGGATCTGTCATGATTACCTGAAATTTTTCAAAAATCGTAAATATTTACGCTGTGTGCAGTGAAGAATATTACAGTTTTTTTTTTGGGATTCCATGTTGTTCAATTCCCACTGGCAAATATATGTAGTTGGCGTTTCAAAAAGCTCGTATCGTCTGGTTTAGTTATTTTCATACATTTCTTGAAGTAGTCTGCATATAATAAGCTAGGTACTTCAAACAGATTATTTAAGTCGTAGCAACCGTGGGGATGCAGATAAATCCTCAGATAGGTGGTCACTTATGTTAACATTGAGCAATTAGATTAGAGTGGAACCAATACAGGAGAACTCCTTCTAAACCAAATCTTGACAATTTAGCAACAGTGATTCCGTGATTGGTGTTGTAAAGGCAGACGATAAGTCCTTACAAATAGCGTCAGTCTGCAAACTTGTGGCCATTCTGTCAATCAAGGTTGCTGCCATTCATTTGCTATAAATAACTGTTTTTCAGATTTATGAAATTATTGTACTTGTGATGATTCTCTGTACAAGTTACAAGTTATAAGTTACAAGAAGAGATTGTTGGATGCGGCTTGGAAAATCTATTCCGGGTGCAGCAGTTCACCAGAAAAAAACAGCAACTTTTCGAAGAAAAGAGCTGATAGATTTTCAATTCAGTTGATCCTTTCGTATCATTGATACTATAATGATAATTTTTATTTATGAGAAGCAAGAAGAAGTTCTAGAGTTTGTGAATAACATAGGGGAAATGCAGGTAATGTCGGCCTAAGTGTACCTAATTTGGGCCCATACATAAATTCAGGAATCGACTAAATTTCCAATAGCAACCAAAAATATCCATTAGTAACGTCCTAATAACGCGTTCATCTAGATAAAATTGATAAATAGCAGATTTTTAGCGATGGGCCCAATCTTAGATCCATAGGCCAACATTAGAGACATTTTCCCTATAAAATTTGTCAATTTTGCTTTCAGAAGGTTACAACTAGCGATTTTATGATTGCTGATTGCGTGGCATACACACACTTTATCTTATCTTATTGGATCATTTAAATAAGAATTATCATTAATATATCTTATAGGGGAAATGGATGTAATGTCGGCCTAAGTGCCCCTAATTTGGGCCCATACATAAATTCAGAAATTTACTAAATTTTAAATAGCGACCAAAAATATCCATTAATACCTTTCGAATGACGCGTTCATCTAGATAAAATTGATAAATAGCAGATTTTTAGCGATGGGCCCAATCTTAGATCCATAGGTCAACATTAGACCCATTTCCCCTAACTTTAAAAATCCGAAAAATAGCATTTTAGCTGTAATGAACATTTGTAAGCTTGCTTGCCTCTGACAGCGCATGTAATTCCAGAATTATGTCAGGTTTCGTTTTATAAGAGAAGAAAACGAATATGTTAAAGTTACCATTTCATTCATATTTCTGACTCACTTAGAGAAGCCCAGTTAAAGAAAAAAAAATAGACCGACGTCGGCAATCATAGCTCCGCGACGTATCGCCAACAAACAACTGTTGCAAATAGCGCAAATCAAAATTCAAACTAAATACGTCATTTTTGTAAATAGCAGTTCTCATCATCACTAACAACGTTTCCCATTACACCCTATAGGTAAAAGCGACTGAAACCCTTAGTTTTGATTTTTGTCCGGCATCCCTATACATTAGACTGATGCAAAATTGAAATTTTCGCTCCACAGTGTTCAAACGGTTTCAAATCGGGTCCTGATTAGCCTCCGAAAGTTTAAACTCATTTGATAAGAAACTGACTTGGCACAAATTATTTGAATTACTCTGGGAAAACGACACTTTGTGTGCCTTTTTACATATTGGGAATTTTTTTATCGGAAAATCGTTTTTAGCCAAACGTCAAATTAAATAGTTGTTAACTGTTTAAGAGATTGATAATCTTATGGCAAGATTAAGCAACTGTATTATGGGCAACACTGTATTCTGCAGTGTGGACATAGTTGCCATGGTTTTGTCCTCTATTCTACGCGCCATAAACACCAATGTTGCCTGCTGAACAGATGATTGAGCATAATCATAAGACATCAGTTACTTGAATCATTAATCACTTTTGTTCCTTACATTTGATCGAAAACTGGTATTCAACAAAGTTGTAGCTGTGAAAATTTTCAAGAAGCTCAGCTATCATGTTTCTAAAGTAGAGTGAACTGGTGAATTTTGAGATACATATGACTCGAAATTATGATTTCTCCATAGTAATTCCCATATAAACTTCAAATGGTTTGTGCCAAGTCAGTTTCTCACTAAATGAGTTCAAATTTTGGGCCCAATTTGGAACCGTTTGAGCACTGTGGAGCGAAAATTTCAAATTTTGCATCAGTCTACTATACATTCAACGCACTGTGCAACGTGACGATTTCTGAAAAATAGGTATGTCGGCAAAACGAGTCTCGGTGGCGCACATCTCTACTTAACCCCAGCAGCATACACACTTAATTTGTACTCCATTTTTGCTGGGATTTTCATATACAACAAACACATTTTACTGATCCTATATCAACAAAAGTTTCGCTAATGTTTAATGAAATCTGAGTAAAATTAGTCGCCGAGCACTGCGTGGCTCAGAGGTATGCGGTATGAAAACCCTAAATTAGCGAAATATAACGAAATTTTGGCCTCAAGTCTTTAAGAAGAAAAAAAAAAACTATCACAATTTGAATTTTTTGCAGTTTATTGTAAATACGCTGTTTTTTTTTAATTTTTATTTAGTCCGTCCCCCAAAACGTGTAGTTCTGTAAGACCCTATGAACTAAATTGTTTGCCTAATTTACTTCAGAATTGTCCGTCATAATACATTTAGTTCTGACCAATTTTCGTCGAAACGAAACGAAACGAAATTTCCAATTTCCGGAAATATCAGTCAGATACAGCAACTAGGGTAGAGCGCTACTTCGTCGTAATAGCCCATTTCCGTTCTATCGATCAGAAATTATCAATAATATCAATGATTTTACCGTGCACAATAATAGGTTTGTTCCGATGCGTTAGTTCATTAGGTACAACATAAATCCTATTAGAGCGCATTGTTTGAATATTTACGATCATTGTTCTCAGAACAAAAGAAGCGCTCCTAGCGAACCCCCTTTTTCTACGTTTATCCGTAGGACGAAGAAAATCTAATGGCATTTCAATGCGTTAGGACGGAATTGAAACTCGTAAAACGAATTTAGAATCAAGAAGCCTTATTAGATTTTAAACAATATCTCAACAATTTGTGACTCTTTATCATATCCAAAAGGAAAGGTGAATAAATTTAGAAGTCATCTTTGACCGAAATATTTCATTTTTTGTTCAAACCCGTTCAAAAAAGAGATGTAAAGCACGGATTGTGCTTAGTAGGACGGAGATTATATCAAAACCCTATTGCATTTAACTGAGAGGTCTGGTAATTTTCCGCATTTTTAATTTCCATGATGTTCAGATTTTCATAACCAAAACATAAAAGTTTCATTAAATTCCGAGATATTGTTGAACTGGTAAAAACAAAACTAAGTTTGTACAGTATCCAAAGTTTATGTTCCGGAAAGCAAAAATCTATGGGAACAATATTTACGGCAAATCTACCCCGAAAGTGAAAGTTAAAACATGAAAGCAATCATAACAGCGTAAAAGGTGTGAACGCTAAACCCATACTCAGGTAATTATTGTTCAGAATAATAAAGCCCTTCTAAGAATCGAGAGGAACAGCCGGAAAGATCCTATCTTACTTACACAACACAAGTTCACTTTGTGTTGATTCGAGCGCCTTTCAAGCTTAATATATCGTTATTATTTCTCGTTTGAAGAATCAGAGAACCAATTTTATTTTTGTATTTGCTCATTTGTTAAATTTTGGGTAGATAACGCAAATAGCTAGCAGATTGGGCAGGGAAAACCGCGCACTGAAGCACACCGCACTTATTTTCCTTTTGCATTTGAGCATTATGAGTAAGCATTGTGTAGAGAGTAGCGTAGCAGCAGCAAAGTGAACAGCAATCTCGCTCGTTACTGAGCTTGAAAGCTTGCCTTACCATTTCCATTTGGGGGTGATTTTTCCTCCCTTTCTGGTTCATTTTTCGTTGGACTCACGGTGGAATCCTTCGGTTGGTCTGTTATTGCGTCATTCTCTTCATTTTTCAACTCACTTGAGTTACTTTCGTTGGCAGTGATTTCACCCGCTTCTTCCACATCGGCTACGGTAGTGGGTATATCCTGCGGTCCGGGATCCTTAGCACTTTCGAGGCATACAGGTTCGTGTGTGATTGGACAGTCTGCGGTGGTGGATTCTTCCCCAGAGTGTTGTTGATGTTCACTTGACGTTGAGCTTTTATTTGGAGAAGTCTTTGGACTACTGTGGGATTGGTCTTGATTTTCCTCCCCCACCGGGACGACAATCGTTACCGAAGAAGACTCGGCCCCATTCGGAGTTGGTGTTTCTCCATCACATGGTTGCGTTTCAGCTTCTTCTGCTGCTTCCACAGGTTTCTCCTCGGTTTCAATTATTTCCACTTTGATTTCCTCTTCGCTCGATAAGTTATCGTCATGGCAGGGATCTTTGTCGTCCTCCCCACTGGATGCATTGTCTTCATCGCCTTTCTTCTTATACTTTGGTGATTTGGGATTTACGCATCGGCAACAGGAAAACATATTTAACTTTTCTTTCTTTTTTCCAACAGATTTCCAACAACAAACTTAATTTGCGGTAAATGTCAACAGTATACACGTTAAGCGGTGCATTCAATTAACAAATTCGTTCTGTGTTTGATTCGATGCTATTCCTTTATCATAAGTTTCAATTTTGTGTTTATCACATCATGTATGTATAAATCACCAACGCACTACTATCGGAAGGAGAATAAAATAAATGCATGTATTTAACGAAACAACGAATTAACTACTTCACAAATGCGCCTGTAGAGGGTTGCAAATATTGATGGCTTCAGTGATAATATTTGTACATAACACCCACAAATCCCTTCTTCTAACGTTGAGGGTTACACACAGAGCACCCAACCCACCCATGCAAACATCCTTCTGGGAAACAACGCGCCTCACAGTGCAGAAGCAACATTAAATACCTAACAACAACAGGCTAAACACGATATTTTAGTTGTTTTTCTTGCATTCCATGTTAAAATTTAATTCAAAAAATTATAAATATGCCAATACAATGCTACCAGGAAAGCTTTGAGTTTTTTGTTACTCGAAACCGTTAGAAAGGTTTTGACCTTTTTGCCGGCTACTTTCACGACGGGTGGAACACGACTCTGAAGATGAAAGGCTGACCATTTCAATAAAGCATGGTCCACTTAGAATCTGGACGCAAGAAGGCAGCGCTACCTCGGGATTGGTTTGACGTAAGAAGTAGTCTAATCAAAATGTAGCTTTTTGTTGCACTTTTATAAAAAAAAAGTATCCGAAAGTTATTCCATTGGGTTCATGAAAAAAAAAAACAAACTTTTAAACATTGAAATTTCTTCTGGTCAACCTCAGCATGCCTCAGCGGCCACTGCTAGCCAATTTCACAGCTTCCCGAGTGACCTTGTCAGTTTTTTCAACTTTCGCTTGATGATTACCAAACATGTTTTGATTGGGCGGAATCGGAAACGATTGGGTGGATTAATGTCCTTTTCGTTGTCACAATACCACTAATCTGCCCAAAGCTTCACAGGTTCTTTGCGCGTCTCAATAAACGGTTTAATGCGTGTTTCCTTCGAGTCCTTCGTCTTCTTTGTGGCGAAAATTCAAGTTGATGCGGCCACAACAGCAGAACTACTGCCAGATCATCAGCTTCCAGGCGAATTTGTTGGCGAAAGCATACTTAACAAATATTCGCATAAAAACGGGAAAAGCTGGATCAGTTCCATTTTCATATTCATATATGTTTGATGATGGATCGCCCTATAAACCCTCAAAAATCATCATGAAAAGGCCAAAATACACTTTAAAACATCAGAACACACACAAAATTTTCACAATCGCTAAACTAGTCTGTGTGCCAGACTACGTAGAACTCAATGAAGAAAAGGATATTCCCTGCTTTTTTCAGTTATAAAAAAGAAAACCCAGGTACAGTGCCTACCCGTTTATGGTAACACGACCTCATATCAGCTAGTACTTTCTTCAGATATGTGCTAATGATTTTTGGACATTTTGTCATGACATATCACATGGCTCTTTAAGCCATAAAGAGTAGTCCAGTACAATCTCAAATTGAATAAATCTTTCGATACATTTTATAGAATGCAAAAAAAAAGTAATCACGTGTTGCCAAAAACGGGATCATAGTAAGCGCCAGGTAATCCGTTCAAGCAGTAACTGGAATGTAACTATGATTCATAGTGATGTATGAAGGAAACTGCAACCATCTTGATTTAGATGTACAAAAAAGACTTGCTTAATCGCATAAAGTTTTTAGCAAGTTGATGATACGAGAAGAAGTCCTTGGCATGGCAATTTTCTCACCTTAGAAGTTCTTTTCGAACTCAACGCTAGAGGCAGAAATTCACCCCGTTCTCCTACATCTTACATAAGAAACACTTGTCTTTAATCCCATTATATTCATTTTATCCCTTGAGCACATTTTGAGATCCAACTCAGCAAGGATTTTTTTTCCTGATAATACGCTTAACCAAACGCTAATTCGCGACCGGATTCCTCCGGTAGGGTAAAAACAGTGCATTCACCTCCAAAATTATGTACGTTAATTTCTTCTTAATTGCAATAGCAACAATATCACAATACTAAAACTTCATTTAGAAATTTTTTTTTCGAGCTAACCAGGTGTACCTAGTATACTCAATAAAGCCACTTTATAATCTCATGCAAGAGTTTAGGCGCCTATGAGTTTTGCCTAGCAAAATTCAGCGTTGCAATAAATAATCCGGTGATGAGCTTTCAGGACCAAAAGTTTATTTCTTTATATTTTGGCGTTATTAACTGTTGTTACTATTGTTTATGAATCCAGGGTTGAAAAACATCACTACATGCATAGGCATGCTATCAATTGACGTTTAAGTGGGTTTTATGAGCTTAAAGCTGGAATGATTAGGTAATGACAAAACGTCACTAGAACTATTCCACAGCCGCAGGCAGTAACTAATGCTAAACTCACCCTAAACAAAATCAACATGTTCCTAACCAGGCTAACCTCATCCTATCATTACTTCTTTAATGCTGTCGAACTCTTTCTTCCACAAACTTCACATATTTACAAATACCTGATCGAAGATATGACTATCATTTATGATGGCTAATGTAAAAACTTTCGCTACTGCCGGTAACTAGAATAAATTAAATAGGAAGATTTATTCTACACCTTTAAGGGCAATTTGCCTCCCTAAGCGGACCCCCACGTCCTATTTGTTGCATAAGTACAGTCTATAGCTTTAATTTCTCTCGATCTCCTTATTAGACTAACTTTTTCCATTGACTTGATACTTAAATCTTGTTTTCGTCCGTGTTGCCACAACAGCACACCACACCAGGAACCATGAAGCCCGCCATGTTCCAAGTCATGAACGAAAAATTCACCCTATTCGAAAATTAATCAATAAGATTATTTATGATATGATATTTTTGGTTATTCATTCAATGATAATTAATGAATAAATAACAATGAAAGTAGGGGATATGAATGTAATGTCAGCCTAAATACCCCTAATTTGGGCCCATACATAAATTCAGCAATCGACTAAATTTAAAATAGCGACCAAAAATATCTATTAGTACCGTCCCATGACGCGTTATCTAGATAAAATAGATAAACAGCAGATTTTTAGCGATGGCCCAAGCTTCGATCCATAGGCCAACATTAGAGCCATTTCCCCTATGTCACGCAATTGTAAAGTGCTTTTTTGGTCGTTTCCCTTATTTATTTGAGTAAAGTATTTTAAATTGTTACTAGCTTACTTATATAAGAGTGAATTTCGGTAAAACCCACACCTGGTGTCAGTGCCTTTATATAAATGTAGTACGACTTGGAAAATAGATAAAAGAGCATAATATGTCATACTTTTACTACTGGTCAAATTATTGGAATTGGTCTTACATGCACGATTAAATCATGATATTAAGCCCATCCACCTTCGGCAAGATGTCAAAAGTTATCAAGCCGTTGTAGTCAAAAGAGAAAAATGGAGATTCGATCAACAATTCAACAACAATCAGAGTCAATTTACTCATTACTTTTCGCAATTTGCAATTTCAACATCAAAATATTAAGATTATTGTGAAAGTACAGTATCGGGCGAAAGTAGTTAGAAAGTAGAAAGTTAAAAGAGCTGTAATTTTTCCGTATGTACATGAAATGTTCTTAAACCTTGGATGCTGGTTGGTCAAGTATCAAATACTTATCGGTATAATTTTGAGCTTGATTGACTAAATCTGTATAGCAATTTTGGTAAAATGCTTCCTTTTATACTTTTTGAACCCAAAATTTCTTTAAGTTTGTTTCACATGTCACTAAACTCAATATCCTAATAGGGCATTATATGTTCAACAACTTTGTCGAAGACCGGAAGACGATCCGAGTTGATCCTAAAAAGTTATTAGCATTTTATTGAAGCAATGACGACCCATTAAAAAAAAAAAAAAAAAACAAAACAAAGAAAGAATAAAACAATCAGTCAGGCATTCGTATTCGGTATAAAATTTAAAAAAAAAACTATGATTATAGGAGTGCAATCTGTAGTTGTGAGATCAAAATACGTCATTTTAAAAGGATTTCAGAAGAAAATTACAAGGAAATTCCAAGAAGAATTTTTTGACCAATTTTGAAAAGAAAATCAATGTGAATTTTAGAAGAAATAAAAAAATAGTGGAGAATTTAAAGGGAATCCCTACAAAATGGTTTGCTAAGCAAAATTTCAAGGGAATTACTTGAATTTCTTAATAGTTGTGTTTAGATTTCCAAGACCATTCTGGGATGACTTCCAAGGAAATTCTTAGCAATATTTAATTTAGGGTATCTTTTACAGATTATTACGGAGAACATTTTACAGGAACGGTCTGTGCAAATTATTGATAATACTAAGCTAATTGTAGAATAAATTCTAAGAATTTACTAGAGGGAACTCCTAAAGAGATACATATGTAGAGAATTTCTAAGTTTGCTATGGCCGAAAATGTCAAATTAATTCCAGAAGGAATTATAAGATGATTCTGGGGAATGCTAAAACCAACTCTGAGGACATCTTGATGTGATTCTAAGGAATTCTTTAGAAAATTCCATAGATATCCTACGAATAACTGCATCTTACATAAATATCATGAAATAATCTAGGTACCGTAAAACGGGGTATCTTTGATAATGCGGGTAACTTTGATAGTAGAATATAATAATTAAATTTACTCTCAGCGCTTTTTTTCCGAATTGCAAGCAATTGGTTCCAAATTGAAGCTTACGGTATTTCCATTGATATCGTATAAAGTGTTCAAATAGTATGTGTTACTTATTTTACAAACATATTAAAAATCTTTTTTTTTTTGGTTTTTGCCTGTTTGAAAAAGCGCTCAAACCGTCACTTCTTCTTCTTCGCATTTCAAGCTTATTGCATATCGCATATTAGCTTATTGCGTGCCCTCAACTTAGTGTTCTATATGCACTTCCACAGTTATTAATTGAGAGCTTTCGATGCCTGTACCATTTTTGCATTGGTATA